CATGGTGAAGCTGAGCTGGGAAACAGAGACTGAAGAACAGCAGCTCCAGCTCTGACCCTGACTGATCTTTCCTCACAAAATCCCCTGGTCTTTTTTCATCAGCGGTTTTTCATCACCTCTCTCTCATTAGAAAACAGTATGAAAACGTTAGCGGCTACGCTAACAATCAGCGGTTATTTCGGGCCAATTAAGCTACATAGGAAATATTTTTCGGTTGTTTATAAGCAAATTTCTGGCTGCAAAGTCAAGTAATTCTGATCTTTCATCCTTACCTGGGGAAGATAATGCAAATGAATCCAGTTTGTTTCGTAAAACGGTTGAAACACAGCACAGGACTTAAGGAGCTCTGATCGCCCTACTGCCACATAGAAGATGGGGGACGCTGTTACTTACAACTCATCGCTCCATGAGGCGTCTACGTATATGATGTCTATGGGCGTGTCTATCGGACATTTATAGAACACGGAACAAATCGCGTCCCGTATCGGTTCAATACGGGACGCAACATTTAACAGCCAAATACGGGACGATTCTGTATTTTACGGGATGGGTGACAACCCTAATCGCTCCCGTCATTTGAAGGATGTTTATTGGTCCCCGAAAAATGACAAAACCCCGGACATTATCATGAATCAGTAAAATTCTCCCAGGCCGACGTTAAAAATTGGACGTTATTCTGCTAACACTTAGCTTTCGTCAACAACTCAGGCGGAAGTGAGAGCGCAAATAAAGGAACGCTAAATAATAAAACATAATGAAGCTTCGAGGTAGATCAATTTTCCTCGAGGAATGTTATTAATCGAGGTACTGGAATCACTCCAGGAATCGTTTCAGCCCTAATCGCAATAACGTCTCGGACAATTTATCGCCCAGTAAAATGTGTTATTGTGACATGCCTTTTTGGTCACCACTTATGATTAAAAATTAAGTTTTTCTGCCACCACTTAACTAAAATGGCCTGTCATTCTGGTTGCTATTAATTGGTGATATTAGTAGCATTGTTATTGTCTGCTTTGTTCCAGAGCTTATTTTAACTCAGGATTTTGAGGATTTTACTATCAGTATTGTTATTAGAATTTTTATCATCTTTTTCTTTAGCATCAGAATATTCTTTCAGAATCCAAATTTCTTTTTTTGTGATTTTTTTAAAGAAAGAAAGGGAAGTTTAAAAATAGCAACTCTCGAAGGTAAGTCAAATGCATAACTAAAATAATAATAATAAATAATAAAAAATAATCTCAATAAATATAAATATATAGTTTTGCTCCTCTTCATCATATCTACACATGCTAACATTGATGTTTTCCAAATATTAGCTGGAACAGCATAATATAATCGTTTTTTTGCTAATTTTAGTTTTATTTTGTCTGATATTCTCATCCTTCTTGTGTTATTACTGTTTATTATTACCGCCCTTTTTCCACTTTTGATTAAATAAGCCTAATTTAATTCATGCTCAATTTTGCTAGCATTAATACTATGTTTCTGTTACTAGGATTTGTGTCTGTGGAGCAAGGAAAGATTTAGAGAAAACCTCTTCATTCATATATGAAGCTTTGTACATGAATTATTGTAAAGCATCCTCATTTATCATGCCTTATTGTAGTGGTTCCCAAAGTTTTTCTCCTGGGCCCCCCCAGTGGTTTCCAAACATTTTCTGAGTCCCCCTGTGGATTACAATAGGGAGAGTTAGACTTTGGGGGAGGTGGAGAGACTCTTAGAGACTCCCTGTTATACTCTTCCGCCCCCCCGCCCGAAACACAGCGCTCATCAGGGTTTTCCCATTTATCCATCCGGCGCCCCCCTTGCAAAGGCGTGGCACCCCCTCTAGAGGGGGTGCCTCTTGGTTTGGGAACCTCTGCCTTATTGTATGAATTTTGCCATAGTATTACTGTACCCAAAATGGCATTGTACCTGCAGTAATAAAAAACAGGTTAGAGACACAATGAAAAAAATGTCTCCTGCATTCATGTTTATAGCTTCATGTTTTATGTATCAGTATTCTTCTTTTTATATTTTTCCTTCTCACTCAGAATAATTCTGCCTTCATCAAGATGAGAGAAGCTCCTCGATGGGACTGGATATTCAGAACCGTGGCTGTAGTTTCTGCTTTCCTTCATCTCATAATCTTCAGATTGCTTGTAGAAAAAAATTATGCTGTCACGGAAATTTATTTATACTGTACTTTTGTCACTGGAAGATATTTTTTTATGAAACCAATTGTCACAGAACACAGACTTTTTTGCTCTTGCATTAAGCTGTGCTGCAGGATTTAACTGTGTGATATAGATGATTTTATAACCTCTGTATTACAGTTCCTTCTATGTACAAAGCTAACAGCTGAGATTTGTTCTTGTAATCACTGTCAGTGTTGAACTTTGACCCTTGAAACACCTTCATCACCTTGCATCTGTACTTTCTTAGTATTTGTGAAGATAGACTATTGCCACATTTTACATGGAATGTGGCAATCTTTTATAAGATCAGTAAATGGATGACAAACACTTTTTATATGAAAAGGTTAATATGGAAGTACGAGAATGTTTTTATTTAATATGTCACAGAAAAAATATTCCTGGAAGCTGTCTCTGAGTTCAGTGGTTCTCTTTTCTCTCTTTTGTTTTTCTAATAATTCTGCTATTAGAGTTTGTTGTTCTGATCTCTATAGTCAGAAATAAATCAACAGGAGTCTAGTTATAAAACAAATCGAAGAATTAAACAGGAATCTTAAGACAGTTTAATTCTAGCATTTACTAAATGTGGGGAAAATGGCATAAAAATAAATCTAATAATGCAAATGTCTCTGAGAGCATCAATAAAATCATATTTCAATATCTGTGACTCCAGTGGGCTTCTCAGTAGCTCTGGGTGAAGCTCATGAACTGAGGTCTCTTGTCTTTGTCTTTTAGGTTCTGTGGGGAATGTCTGCAGCCATGTCTTCAGGTGGCCTCGCCCCTCTGCCCTCTTTGTCGTGTACCCTTCGATCCCAAAAAAGTGGAGCGCTCCTCCAATGTGGAGAAACAGTTGGCCTCCTACAAAGCCCCCTGCAGGGGCTGCAGCAAAAAGGTCCAGAATAACTATTTCATGTTAAAGAAATCCTGCCATTGGTCCTTAGATCACTGTATATCTCCCAATGAGTTACTGATGATGTTTTGATATCCATCTTCTCTGACTGACATAGAGCTGATCTCATCATTTCAGACATGCAGGTGATAATATTGGATCTGTTCAACAGGTGTCTCTGGTAAAGATGAGGTCCCACATTTCCTCGTGTTCCAAAGTACAAGAGCAGATAGCCAACTGTCCCAAGTTTGTCCCTGTGGTTCCCACATCCCAACCTATACCAAGGTACACACATGTTCTCACACACTTTTATGTTTCATTTGATGGTTCAAGAAGCATCTGTTCTTCTAATGAATGATTTGACATTTTTTTTGTGCATTTGTATCTTTTGGCATGTAGCAATATTCCAAACCGGTCGACATTTGTATGTCCGTTCTGTGGGGCCAGAAACTTAGACCAGCAGGAACTGGTGAAGCACTGTATGGAAAACCACCGCAATGATCCCAACAAAGTGGTGAGGACATACACTAGATGGAATTTGATTGGCTGTTTGAGGTTAGACGTTAAATCAAAAAAAAAAAAAAAAAAAAAGATTTTTCTAATCTGTTAGGAATGTTGGACGGTGTTGGATGACTAGTTCTAACCAAATGACGTTATGTTGCTGTGAACTTTAGATCAGCTCCTCCAGCATCCTGACTAGAGGTCGCTCATGTTTTTGTTCCTACAGGTGTGCCCAGTGTGTTCAGCCATGCCATGGGGAGACCCCACCTATAAGAGCTCCAACTTTCTGCAGCATCTTCTTCACAGACATAAGTTCTCATACGACACCTTTGTTGTAAGTCCAGTTACATATCAGGTAGGATTATATGTAATTATAATCCTACCTGATATTATTTATTTTTTGGTTGCTGCATATTTTACTAAACTCAGTTTTGTAGATATACTGCAACACTGCCACATGTTTTTATTGTAGTGTAGACCAGTGTTTCTGCATGTTTTAGGTCCGTTCTGCAGCACTTGATGACATGCAGAGGAGGTCATGCGGTCATTTGAATCTGGTGTCCTGGAACAGAGACGCATCTAAAATATGCAGGGCAGTGGCCCCAGAGGACCGGAATTTAAAAACACTGCAGTAGATTATGAGTAGATTATAGAAAATGACATAATTGGTGATGAAATTAGTTACAGTAAAGGTCATAATTATTAGCTGCCCTGAAGAAATGTCACAGAATTTGTAATATTTCTATGGAAAATACCACAAAAAAAAAACAGTTAATACTTGTAGTCCTTACATTTATGGTTTTCAAAAGAGTTCCTCAGCTGAAAATCTGCTATTCTGCATCTCTGATCTTCACTGAGTCCCTGGGAGTTTTCTGTGGTTCTGACTTAGTATTGGTCAGTCAAACAAATGCTTTATATGCTGACAAAGAGAAACTACACACTACAGTGAATCATGACTGCTAACAAGAAGTTAACAGCAGGGCTAGGTATTGTTTATTACTTATAGTGAAAAATTTCTCATCATGATTAGAATTTTGATTTGTCATCTGGATAAATTCCAATTATTGATGTTAAATAAAAACAGAACAAAAATGTTACTTATTTGATTTTCTCCACCTTTTGTTCCACAAGTGTATCAATAAATATCAGTAAATTCTAAAATATGATTAAATTCAGTTACTGTGTGAAACTTAGTGATATGAATCTCACTTTTATCAGTAAGTGGTTTCCTGAAGAAGCAATTTCAGATGGGAATGTTTTTTTAAGAACAGTATTTTTGTTTGTGGCGCTATGAAGGCTTTATCTAAGACATAATAATCGTAATTGTTATCATTATCACAATAGCACCACAAAGTATCTGGATAAAATTCAAAGTCCACATCACCCACCGGTAGTTAACAGACTTGATCTGTCCATATTACATTCAAACATGTTCATCCAGTTGTTGCTTTTAAACCTCATTGCAGATATATGTTATATAATCATAACAGACTGCATCAAAAATCACCACTGAATATGAGATTTATGCTCATGATGATTGGGTGTGAACTTCTGACTGGAGCTCCCCCACCAGACAGTCACTTGCCACCTGTGTCTCCATTATAAATGTGCACAAATTGTTGTTGATATTCTGCAAATTAAAAAAAAAAATAAAACAACAAAAAAAAAGAAAACACAATTTGGCAGTTTTTAAGTTTTCTGTCTTTGTGGGAGTTATTGGCAGAAATCCGCAGTCTTTTAGTTTTAGTTTTCATGTTGAGCAAAATTCCTAGAAACAGCTAACGGCTGATGTGTCTGTTTCTTTCATCAGGATTACAGCATCGATGAAGAGGCAGCACTTCAGGCGGCTCTGGCATTGTCACTGGCTGAAAACTGACATCAGACCCTGCTCTGTTCTCCCCACTCCTGTGCTGTTCTTCCACGGGTCAGAACCTCTCAGATGTCACATGGACTTACCTGACTCGACTGTATGATAAAATTGCAGCCAACTTTAAATAATAACCTCACTTCTTTCTCCTGGTGTAGCAGAGCACTTTCATTTTATTCCAAAACAAAAGCAGCGTTGACCAATCTTCACTGCGCCATACGGATTTAACGTTTTTTGAGGACAGGCTGGACTGTAGGTCCGGAGTGGATCCAATTACCACCCAGGAAAAACTCAGACACCTTGACCGTTGCAACCTCCCCCCCCACCATCTACAATTTGGAAACAGTTCGTCAGATCCCATTTGGGCCACTGCAGCATGAAGGGCTATCTCCTTGGAAAAAGTCTCATCTGTTTGTTTGTTCTGCTGCTGACTCTTAAGGCCTCATCCGTGGTCCAGCTCCCTGACCACATGCATCGATCCACCAAGGTAGACACTGTGAGTAACCTGGCCTCAGTTTCTGCTTCTGCACTGACCAGGATGGAATCTTTGGCTGCCCATCAGTAAGATCTAACGAGCATCTGCACAAATCCACACATCTCCTCAGAGACAAAACACTGGAGGTGATTCTTCAGTAGCATTGTCAGGCTGCAGTGGATCATGTACACAAAAACTGGACTTTTTATGTTGCTCAGAAGTGAGAATATTTCAGTAGACTTGCAATTTAACCCATCCATGTTGCTGTCCACAACATGTTTTATGGTCACGATCAGTGATCAGTGCACCCACAATCCCTCACTGACCTGATAGTAGTTTTACAGTTTTGATTGTGAGGCAGATGCCTGGCAGTCAGTTACACATTCCTTCTGTTTTTGCTTTTTTCTCAATTAAAAGTTTCAGATCATTATAAAAATATGTTGGACACAGATGAGTAAATTCAAAAAGCTGTTTTAAACGTTGATTTCAGTCATAAAGGAAAGGAATTCCTTTATGACTGAACCTGGACCCATGTGGAGAAGTAATGGGTCCCGTTCTAAAGCTAGTGACTTCTTGTTCCACCCTTCCATCTTTTTTGTTTTCCCAATGTCTTTCTGAGGTTGCCTTCCTTCAGTACTTTGGATCATTTTTCGTCTGCAGAACCGAAATGTACTTGGGCTTATGGTCCCATATTGATAAGTTGATATTTTGCCTGTGGGATTAGACCTTAAAAGTCTTGATTCCATCAATTACGGAAAGTCATCTAGATCTATAAGAATCAGGCCAGCTCCAGATTCTTTGGACTGCCACCACCGTGTTTAACTCCCATTACGATATTCTTAATCTGAAATGCTGTTAGTTTTACACCAGATGTAACTGGATTCATGCCTTCCAAAAAGTTCCACTTTTGCCTCATCAGTTCACAAAACTGATGAGCCCATAGTCTTGGGCTTCGTCCAGATGTTTTCTGGTAAGACAGACCTTCATGTTCTTTTGGGTCAGCAGTTGTTCTGACCTTTGAACTCTCTAGTGGAAGCCATTTTTGTTCAATTTCTCCCTTCATTACTGTTGAACCATGAACTCCGACCTACACTGGTGTTTTTTTGCTCATCTTGATCCAAAATTTAATTTTGTGTGATTATCTGAAACATTTAGGAGTGTCAGAAAAGCAAAACGAAATAAATGTATAACAGGCAAATACATTTTCATTGCTCTGTTTGTCATTAAGTCGCCCAATGCTAACCACAGGAAGACATAGTCAGTGTTGGTTGTTTCTTCCCTGCGGTCCAGCAGAAAAACGGGTGGTGAGTTGGTAGCGGTTATTTTAGGACCAGGACCAAATTTGTCTTGATGGGAATCGCAAATATTTTGGGGGGAAAGGTCCACATGAGGTATGTTCTGTCTGGTGGCTTTCATCCATTGTTTAGGCTGACTGTTGGACACTCAAACTGCCACAACATATACCCTCTGTCACCAGTATAGGTCTGGAACTCTAATTTGGTCCAGGCTCTAGATGCAAGCAACTATGAGGACAGCAGCATTGGCTCAGTAGGTTTTCTTTACTAACCCAAACATTATACGTAACATCTAACTCCTGGAAGCTGAGCTGTTTGTTCTCTCAGCTGTCATTCCTTCCTCAACATCAAGAGATGGAAACTTCAAAGATCCATCTTCGTCTCCAGCAGATTCTGTTGCACTGTTGAAGATTAACACATGACTGCAGCATACTGGGGTTTATTTAGTACTTTTAATGCAGTTACATGACAGACTGCAGCTACAAGAAGTCCCGAAGTGCATCAGAAAAGAAAAAAAAAATCAATGACATCTAAAAGTTGTCAGACAAAACCCGTTTTTGTAAAGGATTTGAAAATCGTTTCAGATTAAGTAATCCTGAGTTAGCTGGCAGAATTTGCTGTAATCTAGGGGGATTTAATAGCCAATAAGGATTACAACGTCCAACCTTGGAAGAGTCACAGGTTTAACAAGGTTTAGCAATCCAGAGTGGTTTGAAGTGGTGACACAGAGCTGGTTGTCCAACATACAGATGCCAGTAATTTATATATAGGCTTGTACAGATACAAACTCCAATCAGGTGTCAATCCTATGTATGCTTAAAAACCAAGTAACTTTACACACCTCTAAAATAGCACATTATATTATCTACATTAGGGTAATGACTGCGTCCTATTTTACTCACCAGTGACATTCATGGCACATGCCATCAGGTTCTCTGGACACAATCAAGTGTCCAAAACTCACTCACTCGTGGTAAACATTTCAGTTTCCCACAACAAGAGCACCTCCTCGAGTCAGAATTCCAACGGAAACGTTGAGACTTGCCAAGCAGCAGTGACTTTAAACATCCAATGTGGCTGCTGGGGGATGTAGTGATGTTGACATGACCAACATAAATCCTTCATTTGTACTTCCTACAGGTTATACCTGTAAGACGGGCATCCTAAGTTCTGTACAACCTCTATTTATGTACATGTTATTTTAGTTGGGTTTTTTTTTTTACATACATTTGTTCACAAAGCTAATGGCAGTTGGCAGCAAAAATAAATAGCAAATCTTGCTGTTTTGTTGAATTGTAACATAGGTGTGGCGTCATTCCCAACTCGTGTCCTGGGAAAAATTTCTGCAGGACACACGGCTCCAATTCATCTCTAATTATCCTGAAATATTTAATATAAATTATCCAAATACAATCCAAACATAGTGACAGATTAGATTTAGTGACAGTCCCATCTGATCTAAATTGTGACACCAAACTGTCTGATTTGAATTATAATGCCATTTAGTCGGTCAGGTGCTAACACCTGAGATGCTAACACCTGACCGACTCATTGCTATTGGCAAAGAGCCATTCCTTGTGGAATAATATTACTAATAGTACTGAACAAACATGCGTAGTTGGCAGAAATGAACAACTCTCTTTTAACAGGAAGAAACCAGAATCAGACGCAGTGAGATGATCCCTGGAAACCTACAGGGGGTTAGAGAAGAATGCGGTAAATACAGAAAAACACAGCACACTTTCTGTCTGATTATGTAGAGATGATGTTAGTTGTAGTCTGTCAGAACAGACAGTTTTGCTATGCTTACCTTTTATTTACAAACTTTATACATCTGTTTCATACACAGCTACAGTTTAACCAGTAGATGGCAGACTTTCCCCAGCCATACAGATGCTGTTCTGAATGTGAGCTACACATAAGTCTTGTAAATCCTAATCAGCACAATGACCTGATGTGGATAAGTTAGAAGATGGAGATGTTGGCATCGGTGGACAGATGGGTGCTGCTTGTATTCTAAATATTTCAGTTTACATCTCTTATTTTGCTCACATTAATATGTAGCTTTGTGGGGTTGGTTGCCACCTGCAGGCTGGATGTTTATAAAGCTGCTGCTGAAGGTTGTAGAACCTCATAGATTTTGGAAAAAAAAAGTTTTTTTTTTTTTTTACTTCCCATGGGGGATGATTGATTCTCCATATATGTCACTATGACAAAATTTGGACATACCTCTATCAGAAATCTCCCAGTAATTAACAGTTGACCAAGAAAGGGCCTTACGTTTGATATAAAAACGTCCTTCACATTCTAAGCAATACTACTGTGCTGTTATGTAAAGACGGAAGAAAAATAGGAGTCTCTCAAGAACCTGACCTCTTTTGGACTTTCCATTCTAACTATTTGTTTTTATGTTCTGAAGATAAACCCTCAAACTGATCTTTTACCTGATAGTGGTCTACTTACTTTTTGTTGTTGTTTCTGTACTATGTTACCATGGGAAACAGATTATGTATCATATGAGTCCTCCCTGATCTGATTTCAACATATTTTTTGTCATAGCTATGCTGTCTGTTAGATTTATGTCTTCTATACTGAGAACACACTGTATTGCTTACGAGTCTAAAAAGAATTTCTGGAAATTAATTTGGTCCACTTTTATTCTTTTGAATAAAACTATTTTGCCAGTCATTTTATGTGTACCTCATCCAGTTCAGTGCCATTCTACCTTAAAATGTTTTTACTAACTCCATGAGTTTAGCTGGATGGCAGAAACCAGTGGAAGCCTCAGAAATGCTGGGACTGTGTAAACTACAGTGCATCCTGGGACTGGTAAGAAAAATACAACAACTTCCCCTCCCCCAAATGATCTGACACGAGAGAGAGTGGCATTAAATGCTGGCAATTGTGATTACAGATATGCAAAACAGGTGAGATGTCTGATCAGCAGAATTTGTTGCAAGTTTGGGAAACCATAAATTGAGGACAGATACAACCGAGAGGAATCTGATTAGAGGAACAGATCACTGGCTTACAGAAAATGGAAAGCAACCTAACATAACGACTAAAAATACCCAAACAAAAAGGTGACAAAGGATCTCAGCAACAGGAAGTAAGTTTAACACAATGGACAAAAGGAAGTGAGCAACCACAATACTAAAGGAACTACAATTCAAAACAGAATTGGAACCAGGACATGAAAATCCTCATGAGACGCCCCAAACCATATATATCACACTATGCACAAACCATATTATATACCTGGGGATTACATTTTCCCCCAGGTTGTCAGAACTGCTTAATCTTCATTTCATATCTCTTCTACAATCAATACAAAATAATTTGGAACAGTGGTTAAATTTACCACTTTCATTTGCTGGTGGAGCAGTAACTATAACAATTAAAATATTTCCTCAAATGAACGATCTATTTTCCATGTTACCCATCCAACCAACTAAAGGCTGATTTATGTCCTTAGATGGTAAATTACATTTTGTTGGAAAAATAAGCCACCAAGAACAAAGTTATCAACCTTACAAAGCCCAAAACAACTTAGAGGGCTCAGCACACCAAATTTCTTTCTGTCATCTTGGCATTTACACTACGAACCCACAT